CACTTCGGTTGTTTCTGTCTGGCTATTGGAAATAAGGCTGCAATTAACATGGAGGTGCAACTATCTCTTTGAGACAGTGATTTCATTTCCTTCAGATATACACCCAGAAGTGAAATTGCTGGATCACATGGTAGTTCTACCTTTAATTTTTAAAATAACTTTCATATTGTTTTTCATAGTATCTGAACCAATTTACATTCCCACTAACAGCGAACAAAGTTTCCCTTTCCTCTACATCCTGGTCAGAACTTGTTCTGTCTTATCTTTTTAAAAACAGTCATTCGAACAGGTGTGGGGTGATATCTCATTGTGGTTTTGATTTGCATTTCCTGATGATCAGTGACTTTGAGCACATTTTCCTGCACCTGTTGGCCATTTAAAAATCTCCTTGGAAAAATATATATTCAGGTCCTTTGTCCATTTTTAAAATTATATGATTTGGTTTTTGTTGTTGTTGGTAAGTTCCTTATATATTTTGCATATTAGCCCTTTATCAAATACATGACTTGCAAATATTTTCTCACATTTTGTAGGTTTCTTTTTCATTCCTGCTCTGTGTTTAATTCAACATCTGAAACAGTTATTCTTTATTTTTTTCCAGTGTTATAGTTTCTTGCAGTGGGATGGCTACTACAATTCCATTTACTTTGGGGAGGATTAATCCAGTTCCATTTGCCTTGTCATGTTAAGTTGTGAAAATCCTATCCTAGACTTTTGAAAGAGCATTTTCACTCATTTCTAGACTGTCATTCAAAAGACTAGACCCCACCTCCCATATGAGTCATTAGAATAAAAAGTGAGCATGGCCTCCTCTAAAATATCCTTTCATTCCCACTTCTCAAGGGATGAGCACTGAATTCCTCCAGCTAAATTTATTGTCTTAAACACTGATTAGCCTCTGATTTTTAGCAACTTGGATATGTTTTTGCCTTACTTCTCATTTTCTGCCCTTCCGTTATAGAAAGAATGAGAAGTTTCAAAGGTCTATACTGTCAGACGGATAACATTTCTATTTTAGACTCTATGCCTCATTAGATGTGTGTCTTGAAATGTTACAACATCTCTACAAACTTTCTTATCCTCATCTATGAAGTGGAAATTACTATTTAACTTTACAGCATTGTAGTAAGTGTTCATATCTATACCACGGTATTTGGGACAGAAACTGGCATATGATAGATTCATGGTAAATATGAATTGCCATTATTTTTGCCTCATGTCTCTTCCTCTGTTCCTCCATTTATACTTCCCCTTCCATTCTTCTTCTTTCCTTTCATTTCCCCCGTTCCTTCCCTTCCCTTCCTTCTCCTTCTCCTTCTCTTCCTCCCCTGCCCCTTCCTCCTTAGCCTCCTCCTTTTTTGTCTATGATGCCTAGTAAAAGACTGGATATACAGTAAGTATAGCTAATAGAGCAGGGCATTCCACCGTCAAGAGAATAAATACAAATGTTTAAAAAAGGATTCTTTATTTCTTGTAATTATGTATTAGTTTTTCCATTGCTTGCTTGTTTGAGCGATTGATTCATTCATTCATTTAAATTTACCTCACACAAAATGCCAACTGGCTCTCATTTGCCTTTGTTTCTTACTGGAAAGAAAAGCCCACCTTGACATGAGTGCTGCTGGCAAACCTTCCACCCTTACACAGAGTGCCCAGCTCAGCTGTGTGGTACATGTAATCCTTCTGCCTGGCTGACCCAAGTATGTCTCATCCCTTTTAGTTCACTGAACACAACCCTGGCCCATTTCCAAAACTAATAAAGGGAGGGCACTGTCCTGCTGCAATGATATCTATTCAGTCTCCTGCAACACAGCCCTCCATTCTCCCTGGACAGGTCAGTCATGAAGCCTTATTTAATGGCCATTTCCATCCTTCTGATCCTGGTTCATAAGACTCCAGGTAACTCAGGCCTCTCTCAAAGGTTCTGGGGTCTCGCTTGTGGTATTGGTATCTTGGTAACCTCTCAGATAACTCCTACTCACATATAGTAGGCACAACCTAAAGCTTATCTGGTCTCAGATTTCAGATGTTACCCCCAAGGTTCATCTCATGTCAAGATCTCCCCTGGTTTTGCTCTGTCAAGTCAAATTTTAGAGGCTGTTGTTCCTGTTATTCCTGGGATAGTGGCATGTTGAAGCATGAAGCATTTTAGGTAATGCTGTAACTGAGATGGAAGCTTGATTCATGGATTGTTTGTGAGAGATTGGATCCAAGTTGGGGAGTTATAGGAGGAATCAATGGTAGTTTGGAGTTTGGAGAGTGAGTTGTGGTGGGGATGGTATGTGACCTTAGAGACAGAGTAATTTGAAAAAATGAGTGGGATCAGGAGGGGGTGAGCAATTCTATGTACAGAATTGGGCTGGACTAATGTTTTGTTAGAGTCTGGAGAGAGAATGGTACTTATCATTGAACTGAGCTGGGGGTGGAATTGAGTAGAACTGAGAGTGAGTGTAGAGCGAAGTTTGTTGTCGGGCTGTATTTTGGATAGATGCTATGAACTGGGGTTGGGTGGCTTGTCTACTGTTGTGTTTGTGTTAAGTTTTATAATTGAGACTTATGTGGTTATCAGAAGAGATAGGGCTGGGAGTTGTAGATAAGTGTTTGGTTCACACCAGTGTGTATTCAAGCAGGGCATGTGTGGAGGTTATGTAGGCAGGGGTTGGCTTAGCCTGAGTTTGGGGGTAAATAAAGTTGAGTAGGACAGTCAAATTCATCACACAGAGCTGTGTCTGTTGAAATGAGGAGAATGGATGCTGGGTGAAAAATATTCACTCATATTTTCAAATTCTTAAAAAAAGTTTCTTGATTGTGATTTTTCAGGGGCACTGAAGAGCAGCAGATATAACTGTAGGCAGTGAGGATAAATGAAATCAGGGAGCTGGAATATCCACAAGGATGTTCCATAAAACCTCGGAATGTACAGAGGGCCATGGGGGTAGTCTCAGCACAACCCTGCAGAAAACCAAGGTTGCTTCTCCTTTCTTGGGATTCAGTTCACAGTCATCGTGTCTAGGTTTCTCCTCTTCCTCTTTCTCCTCCCTCTCCTTCTTCTCCTCCCCCTCTCCTTCCCTTCCTCGTCGTCTTCCTACTTCACATTCACCTATCCCTTATTTCTCACCCTGTTTCATCCTATTTACTTGAGATACTCTTGTTCTCATGTTCAGGAAAGCTCAGTTCCCACGTGGGAACAGTAGAAACCACAGGTGGGTTTACAAAACACACAACAAAAAAGGAAGACAGGACTTATGCTTCAAAAGTGGTACACGGTGCTGCTTCCTTAATAACTATTTAATATGTCCACCAGGTGGAATTTATGGGCAGGAACAGTTCTGGACAAACTTTTCTGGGACAATCAAAGCCATTTTTTCCTTTCATCATCCCAGACATATACATAGGAAATTAAACTTTCTGAAAGCCAAGCCTCAGTCTTTTAAATTTATGTATTACTGATACTGAGCTGAGTGCTTTGCAAAGGATAGATTTTGGTAAATGTTTATTGATGTATATAAGTAGGAAAAACAGTAGAAGGTGGACGGAAGAGGATCATGTTTGGGGGGCATATGTGGCAGAGCAATCATGTGTCACATTGATTTTGACTCTGGATGGAGCTCTTAGGAAGAGTCAAAAACATTATGTTTTGGTTTTTGATTTATGATATTTTAATTTGCTCTTAAAACAGTGTGGAAAAATGAGCTGGACAATGTCCATGGGTGAACGTGAGAAGGTCAGGCAGGGTTGTGGCTCTCAATTCAAGCAAAAGCTTGTAAGTATTTTCTGCGAAACTCTTGCAAAGCACCCTTGCTCTGGCTTCTCCCTAGACTGATTAAATCAGAATCTCTAGAGATTTGATGTGAATATACTTAAAAACTTCCCAGGTTACTACAAAGTATGACGTATCTTACTAATCTCCTTCTTCACAAACACAGTTGAGATTTTCTGATCTGGTCCAAGCTCTCTCATTCCCATTTCTCTCTTGGGGAGACCAGGTCCAGAGATCCAGAGGTCCAGAGGTCAGGAGCAATGCTGGGATTCAAGACCCAGTCTCTTCTGACTTCAATTTGAAGATGGAAGGATCATCAAAGGTGTTAACTTGATGTGTTACATTAACTTGGATGTTACAACTTATGACACCGGGCAATATAGAGTCAGAACAGTTGCAGGAGTGAGAAGCTATAAATATCTATGACAAAACCTTCCTTTTTAAAGCCACTATTAGCAGAATTCTCCTGGGGCTGTCTTGACCTGCTTCCATGTGGAGAGGAAAAGTCAACTTGCCTGATCCTCACTCTTGCTATCCATGTTCCCATCCATCCTCTGGTGACCACTAAGAGGAGCTCCTGGGTGTCCCAGTTTCCATGTAGTGTGTTTGGGAGAGAAGGGAAGTCCTCCAGTTCAGATGCTAGCCAGAAGAGTGCGTGTGTAACTCTGGGGAGCCCCCTTGCACCTCCTATAACTAAGATGGTGCCAAAAGAGAGCTAGATTCCACGATGGGGTTTAGGTAAAGTCAGAGAATGAGAGGGGAAAAAATGCCTCAGTAGCATACGCCTCATAGCACTTTGGTACTGGTGTGTATATAAACTGCCCCAGAAACTGGCACTCAGATCCAGAGAAGGCACTCAGTTGCTGCTACCTCAGCCAGTTTGCTGGTTAACCAGAGGAAAGAGGTAAAAAATGGCAGCCCTTCATCCATGCTACAACATCATGGTCTCACTCCGTTTCCTACATTAGTCTCATTCTCTGACTTTACCTAAACTTCGAAAATTTTATTTCCTCTTGTCAAAAAAAATTAATAAAAGGGTTTTTTTCCATGTAGGAAATAACATTAAACATGCTTGTTCCAATTTTTATTAATGTGGGTGGGCACTGGAGGCCCCTTCATGAATAGCACTGGATACATGGCCTGGCACAGAGTGAGTGTGGATAAATCGATGTGTAATAAAGGGATGGGTAGATGATTGAAAAGGTCCTTGAGTACTGAACGATGGGTTTTGAGCTATCTGTTGAAAGCTGTAGAAGGCCTTATGCCTGCAGACATCATGCAGGAAGGTGCCACCCTCCCCCAGAAATTCTATCACACAGAGGGGCAATGTGACACTGAGAAGAAAGAGCATGGTCTCTTATGTAGACCAGAAATTGCATTTTAGCTTGGTCAAGTACCAACTAGGGGAGTGTGGATCGACAAGGTCTCTCTTCGAGTCTCAGTGTTTTCATCTAAAGGATGGAGATACCAGAAGGATTTTATGAGGGTTCAGTGAAATGTCATTTGCAAAATGCCTGGCATATAGTACATGCTGGACACATGGTAGTGATCATTAGCATTATTTTCTTTCTAATGGCTCCTTTGTCTTTGAAAGACCCAACAGATAACTAATACTACCCATGACTAATATTTATAGAATGCTAAGTGTCACAAACTTTGTCATTGGGGTATTTTCAGCTGAAGGGCCTGCATACACGCGCACTTATCTAAATGACTGATGCATAGCCATCAGTATTCACAAATTAGCCGTATGTGGGAATCTGTGTATAGGCTCAACTTATTGCACACATGTGCCTGTGTGTGTGTTGCTGTTGCTCTACGCATGTACATACAGTGCCTGTTTTTGCAGAGCCAATGTACAAAGAGAAGTATGTATGGTACATACTTGCTCAAATGTTTCAAACTACAAAGGCATGTAGGCACTCAAATAAGTGTGCCCCACCTCGGAGTAGATCCTGGCAATCTCTGATGAGAGCTGGGTGTGAGGAGCAGGCACCTGTGCGGGCACTTGAGGACATGTCCAATATGTGCTCATGGTGGCAGCCCTTGAAGTGCTGGACTTTCAGGAAAAGACTGTCATATCAGCACCACTGCCCAATATTTAATTACTTCTTATTACGTGCCAGATACTTTTCTAAGCCAGTATCTGTGTTAATTTCGTCATCACAAAATCGTTAAGAAGTTGGCGTTACTATTATGCCTGTTGTGAAGATGATGTAATGGTGGACCAGAGAACTGAGGTAACTTGTTCAAGGATGAAAAGCTCTAATGACACAGCTCTGATTTGAACTGAGGTGCTTTTGATTCCAGATCTGTGCTCTTAATATTCTTAGGGCTCGTCTTTAAATCATGCCTTCCCACTCCTATTACCACTGCCGCACAGAAACTAAATATAGCTATGTTTTTCCCAGGTGGCCTGTTCAGATCCTTCTACGGCAAGAGCCAAGAAGAGCCTTGGAATCCATGCCAGCTATATGACGGCATGTGCCGAAATGCCTGCAGAAAATACGAAATCCAATACTTAAGCTGTCTGAACGATCAAAAGTGCTGCCTGAAATTTTCTATGAAAATAACCAGTTCTAACAATGTAAAGAATGGTTATGACTCCAACTCCAACTTATCACTTAGAAACCCTTCAAGCCACTCGTAAATTTGAGTATCATCAACCTTCCCCCCTCCTAGGGTAACTCCTCTTCCAGCTGGAACACTCTTCCCATAAAAATGCATTCCTTTTCACGTGTGTGTCTTTCATCTGTGAGCAGTCATTACTAGACAGGGGTAAGTTAGCCTGGGAGCTGGGGAGCCACGGAGTATAGGAAAGGGCACTGACCAAAAAAGCAAATAAGATGCTAGGATAGCTCAGTAGATGTTGAAGAAAGGGAGGAGATCATGTTTCTGCTCTGCTTGGGTACCACGAAGAGGGCTGTGATTTGTTCTGGAGGCTGTAGAGGGAAGGTGAAAACTGGATTGAGTCTGGATCATCCAGTGAACATGTAGGGGAGATCACTGAGTCCCCTGAGTAAACATTGAAGGATCGGGACAGGGACGATAGGGTTGGCTTTTACATTCAGAAAACTATCCTGATATATTTGATATGACATGGTGTCTTCAGGAAAAGCCAGAACCAGACAGAAGGATGGCTGGAATGGAGTGTAGGAATCTACTGAACAAATTAGAACAAAGTTTTCTAAGTCTAAATGATAGAGCTGTTGGAAAGTAGAATAAGCAGGCTTGTCCCTGGGGACTTGGCCAGTTTTGAGGCTGGAGGAAAATTTCTGGGTATGGGGCAGAGATCGTGGTGATTATCATACTTGAGAGGGATTTGGAATGAACACTTTACCTGATGAACTTTACGATCCCTTCATTCTTGAGGACTGAGGAATATTGTTTTCCCACTGCAAACTCAGTCACAACTAGTATTTGACATGCTGTGGAATTTTCATTGTGTTATGTATCCTCCTTTTCCACAGCTGTCTCATCTCTTTCCTTTTTTGAACCCAAACTTCTAGAACTAGTGTTCTCAACTAAGTTCCCTAAGTTCCAGGTTCCTAACTCCACCTCAACTAAGAGAAATCTGGCTTTTATGCTTATCATATCACTGAAAGGGCACAGATTTTACTCACCAATGCCTTCCTTGTTGAAAAACTTTAGTGTTTTTATGTTTTTACCATTTACTTTGCCTCTAGCTACCCGTTCACTGCACTGCCCTTAATCCTTCCTTGAGATTCTTGTTTGCCTTGGCTCCTGCTCTCTGGGTGCTACTTTCTTAGCCAATTTTTTTGGGGGGGTTCTTCTTCTGTCACCTGCCCCATAATATTTCTTTGCCACCTTTCCTGTCTTCTCTCTTTTTCATCATAAACACTTAACCTGTATTTCTCATTATTAGACAAATGACAATCCCAGCCCAAACCAATGGGTCAAAGTCCATGCACTCATTAAATGACCAATTTATATAGTTGGATTTTAGTTTTTATGGGACTTAGAAGCTTAATAGAAAAATTCAATAATGTTGAGAGCTTTGAGATTCAGTGACATTCAGACATGTTTGACAGAGATTAGAGGCTTGGCAGAACCAGGTTTCAAAAAGGGATGCAGACATTTTTGGCAGAAGTAGCATGATTAGACCCAAATTTTAGTGTTTGGAAGAAAGTGTTGGTTCTGGGTTCAGCACTGTAGTTGAAATATAACATTTCTAGACTTTCTACTTTCTATAGTATTTGTAGAGGGAAAACTGTTGTGGGATTCTAGGTTTAAAAAACAGATTCCCATTTCCCTGGTTTCTACATGTCTCAGAGAAAGAAACATGAATATAAAGACAGAAGGGTTTGTCCCCTGTTCCCCATCACTGCTCAGAAGTTAGGAGATTTTGGACAAGTTCTGTATTTACATGTTCAACCCAGACAACATCTCTGAAGTCTAGACTTAACATTTTATATTACATATTTGTTATGTCCTCTTGGACTTCTCAGCCGTCTGAGACTCAAATGTCCTAAACTGAATTCCAAACCTGTTTGCCTGGCTTTTCCTTTGTTTTTCCTTTCTGATAATCGGCATCTACAATTCATTCTGTTGCTCAGTTTAGAAACTTGAGAGTCATTCTTGATCCCCCCAGTTCATCTCAAGTCACCATGTTCAAACCATTAAGATGTGCTTTTAGTTCCAACTCTCAGACTGATCTCAATTTAATGATGATATCAGCTTCGCAAAATCAAAAGGAGAGGATTCACTATTTTGAAAGTGAAAAAACTCAACCAATTAAGAGGTCCTTAATGTTTTATTCCCGAGAATGTACACTGTTACTCATTTAGGGATCTTCAGTGTCATATTCCCCTTTGCTCTTCTCAAAAGTAATGTGCTTTCCTTTGTTTTCAAATGTATCTTTGTCTACCTTTGTTTTTGATGGTTATCAGTATGCCCATCAAATGGTGTCTTTTAAGTCTGTCATTTTATAAGGTCCACCTCATTCTCCCTAGCATAGCATCAGTTCCTGTCATTCTTCCTTCTCGAGTTTCACTCTCTCCACTGCTCATCAACAAAGATCTTACAGGGATGTTAAGCTATATTACGTTATAAAAGAAAGCCTGTAATTTTGATGTGTTAATCAACAGGTGTGAAGTGAATTTCAGCCCCTGGCTGATAAACATTTACCTCCTTAGTTCTTGAAAAACATTTTTTTAAAATATGGAATTTGTATTTTACTCAAATTTGAAATATGTCAATTTATCAGTATCAGATACGAAATGCTAATTCAATATGACTGTATCTGAATAACTGAAAATAATAGATACCACCCAAATTAGTAATAAATCATTAAGACCTACATTACTAAAAAAGATTTCTAATAAATGGCAAACACTTAAGATTTTTGAATCTGGCCATTCTTGTGCAACCATTTGGCATAGTTTGTAAGATCCTAAGGAAAGTGGAGGTGGAATACAGAATGCGGACCGAATTCCCATATGGCCTTACTTTCAGATCCTCCTCTGTATTTCCCTCCTGTGGTCCAGGGATTCCATGGTTCCACACTTGAGCTCAGAAATGCTTTGTACTTCAGGTAGGAACCATCAACTGAGTTTGACTATATTTTTTGCCACCTCTGTTAACTCTTATTGCCTGTACCTGAGAAAAATCAGGTCTACTGTTTTTCAGGGTAGACTCTGCTCTGAATGGTCCTCAATCAAATGGTCAAGAAGACAGTTCCATCTCTGTTTAGCTTATTTTAAACTGGTATAGTATCACTTAGTATAATTTGGAATTGGTGATTAGAGATTACCTCCAAACTAGTATTATTATTTTTTTTTGCTTTATTCTGAGGGCAAGGTGTTCCAAAATATCTAAGAGAAAAATCTAGAAACCTTCCATTCTGGCCAACAAGTTAGTCGTGATATTTGTGGGAAGAAGAGGCTTACAAAAAGAAATCAAAATTCGAAATTCTGTTTTACAGATATGTAAGAGAGGCTGAAAAATATCATTAATGAAACCCAAAATGGGGAAAAAAGCCTTTTCAGGCACATATAGGTCAAACTCCCCCCTTCAAAAAACTCATTTGTATTGCTGACTTAAAAGCCAACCCATGACCAGAGTTTTCATATACCTCCAGATTTTCTACAGAAAGGTTTCAGAAACTCTACAGTATTGCCTCACTATAAGTTAAGCCCTCAAAGCATTCTTACTATAATTTCTTAGTGTTCAAAAGAATACATTCTAGATAATAGTAAATAGGTGTTATTCCACTTAGATTAAATACACCAAAGGATTTTCACCAGATTCACTCTATTTTAGGGAAATTGAATCACTTGTTGCTCAAAACATAATAGATGAAAAGAAAGAACTCTCTTCTCAGAGTATGTTTGGGAATACAAAGGCATGGAGGAATTGATTGTATTTTAAACAACAAAACTGAATCTAGAAGGAGGCACTTGAATAGATGCTAACATTAAATATAGGCAACAAACCTGTATGCTTACATGTAAGGTAATCTTTATGTATAGATAAATAGATCTATTCCTGTCAAAGACAAAACAAAATAAAACCAAACGCCACCCCCAAACAAAAGCATTTTGGAGGATTACACATGCATTGTAAGCTTTTTGAAATAAAACTATATTCAGAAAGGCACTGTTATATCAAAAAATAGTTAAGAAAAATTACCAAACATTTGGAAGTAAGTAAAAGAGATTACTGGGTGTCCTTTCAGTGCAGAGCTAGAAATTATTTTGTGGATCCTCCTGGGATTAGAATTCTATTAAGCGTGTGGTCCTTTGAACAACTTTCCAGTGACTAGGCTATTTTTT